ACCAGATGCTAAAGTAGTTCCATCTGGTGAGAAGCATACTGATTATACATAACTACTATGACCATCTAATTTGGCTTTTTATTATCCTGTTTTAACATCCCATAATCGAATTGATTTATCATCACTACCAGATGCTAAAGTAATTCCATCTGGTGAGAAGCATACTGATCGAACATCACTCATATGACCATCTATTTGAAAAAGCTCATTTATTATTATATTTTTCCATTCGCAACCCATCAATTAAGCAGCATTTAAATTAATCCCATTTATATTAACATTTTCTAATTTCGATCCTGAAAAATTACATTTTACAAAATTTGCTCCAACTAAAGACGCATTTTTAATTTTTATATTTGAAAAGTCTTGGTCGGTTAAATCAACTTTCATTTCAACCAATAATGTAAGTGAATTACTTCCACATTAGATGAATTCTTTATCTATTTTAGTTAGATTAACTAGGGATTTCAACAATTCTATAATCTTAATATCTTATGATATTTTTTATATTAGATATTTTCTTGTTTCTTGATATATATTGGATGAAAAATCAATTGTATTAAAATCATGTTTTTCAATTAGTTTGAAATAATCCATAATTTATTTAAATTAATCACTAATAGAAATTGAACTTACAAACTATGATAACTTAATGTATTTCAGATTCAGTTAAGATTGATTTACATTTTCTTAAAATTTAAAACAATCTTAATTGTTAATTTATTATTTTGAAAGCTCCTCCATCATATAACTCAATACTTTCACATCTAATTTTTTTGCAAAAATTAACAATTCATATAAATCAGCTGCTATTAAGAATTCTTATATTGATTTATGGACAAATGAAAAGTTTGCGCCTTTTTTTTAGACTAAGGAGCAACTTCTTACATCTTTTTTATAATATCCATATTATTCATCATCATTAAAATATTCATTTAACCATTTTTCTTCTTCTCCTTCTTTGTTATATAATAGGCCCAATTATTTATATTAAACTTGAGTCAATTATTTACGACTCATTGTTATTGCAAGTTTAATTGAATATTATTATATATCGTGCAAAAAACGATCAAAATTTATCTATTTTCCTAGGTATTTCTATTTTTCTATTTATTTCAGATAGTAATAATTAATAAACTCACTGTAAAAGTCAAAGCTTGTTAAATTGTATTCTTTTAATGCATCAACAATTACCGAGATTATGTCCTCATTTTTAACTTCAACTTTATCAAATATTTCATTTGGTAAAAGAAGATTAGGTTCAATTATATTCTATAGTTTTTCTAAAGAGACTTAAAGGTGAGCTGGAATTGACTTCACTTCCATTTTATCCCAAGCTTTAAGAGCAACTTCTAGAAAATCAATTTTTTCTAAAGTCTCAATATCTTTTTGAGTAATTTAAATTTTTTCTTAAATAACTATCTCCTCTTAGACTTGTACTTATTTTACTTAATTACCTCCAGTCTCCTCTTGCAATTCTTCTAATTTTTCTTTAATAATTTCTTATTACTAATCTTCTTATTTTTCTAAAATACCTTATAGTTCTTATTTTACGAAAACATTTTGCTTGAATTTTTTTTCAATTTCTTAAGTTATATTTTTTTGATGCTTTTTCAATTGGCATTTATACATCAAAATCAGATACTTGCTTTTCAAGAACTATTTAAACATTTTTGAGAAATTTTGAATGAAGTTTTATTTCGTTTTACTTATCTCTACCTCTTTAATCATCATTTAAGGCAAAACTTAAACTATTATTTCCATCATATACGGAGTTTCAACCAATTTAATTATCTTTATTTATTTCATAATTACGTCATACTTTTCAATACCCCATAGTTATGATAAACTATTGCTGAGACTTCTTAAAGCTTCATTATTGTTATTTAAAGTCATAAAATAATGGTCCTACTTCAAAAATTATAAGATGCCATCTATTTATTTTTAATTCAAAAGTATCTCAGATTTCTACTTGAATTCATATTTCTAAATTGATTCCTCAAGCTTTTTCCAACACTCATCAAATCTATTGATATCAATTGTTCTTTAGTTACCAATTGGGATTTACCATTCATATATTTCATAAACCAGTAATTTAATACTTTGCACTGTATATTTTTTTAGATATTCTTATATTTGTGCCTTATTAAATTTTAGAAGCTCAATTTCTTTATATTTTGTATTTTCTTTAGGTGCAAACCAATCTCTGTAGTTGGTACTTGTAAAAATTTCAGTTCTTGTTGTAAAAATTACAAGTGGGTTATACCAATTTTATTCAACTTTGTTACTCAAGTAGAGGTTTTTTTGAATATTCTCTAGTTTCATTTCATCATAACTATCCATAATTAATAACAATTTGAATTCCTTTCTTTGCAACTTTTCTTTACATTCTTTCAATTAGAGATCATCAAAGCCATAATCATCTTAACGAAGTGATTCTTCTACTGCTTAAAAAACAGGATTTTTTAAAGTTGGTAATGAAATATAAATAGGTATGAGCACTTGATTGTTGATTTCTTGATTAATTTTATGCCACTTCCATATAAATTCTTCGATTTTTTTGGCTGTAGTACTTTTGCCTGATCCTGCTATTCCATGAATTAGCATTACTGTTTTTTTCCCTGCTTGTCCTTCAAATAAAAACTCATTCACTTCACCTTCTTAATCATCAAATTAGTCGAAGTTTATCAAATTACTTTTTTTTTCCTTCCCTTTTTCTAAAGTTTCTAATGGCACATAGATGGATTTAACATTTTTATATGCTGCCTCTTTCAATACTTTCCATTTTCGGATTTCAAAAAGTTGTTCGACAGTTTTTCCTTTCAACAATTTTATGTCATTTCCCATATTATTTATTTATTCTTTCATTTAATTAATTTTCCCCTCAACTCTTAATAACCCTTTTCGAATATGATTGATAAAGTCAGTCATCAATCTAAGTTATTAACCCATTTCACTAATATTTGTTATATATTCATCTAATTGCTAAGTTGTTTCATCCAATTCCTTTAGCTGTAAATCACGTTTATTGGTGTTAGCCTCATGACTAATTTATTCTTATAATTCATCAATTCTCATCAACATTTATTACATTTCTCCTGATATTCTATCATGCTAAGTCTACCAATCTTTCTTCAAAATCTACATTTACACATAAATTAACTTCTCGTTTTTTAATAAATTTCTTACTCTTTAATCTTTTTCTGAAGCCCATAATAAGATTAAAGTCTTTTAACAAAAAGAAATAATTGTGTCTGATAAACAATTTGATGAAATCTATATTATTGTAAACACCAGACCCTATTTAATTTTCCATTCGTCGTTATTGCTAAAATCTTTAACTTGTTGTTTTAAAGAACCAAAAAACCCTAATTCTTCGTTTTATATTTCATCATTTTGTTCTATTTAACTATCCAATAAATCTAATTTTCTAATTTATTCAATCATAAATTCTTGTTCTATTTTTGGATTTGTAATATATTTTAGGTTTACTATTTTTTATTGAATATACTACTTTAAAGAATTAAGAAAATCAGAAATATTAGTCTATTCTTAAGTGCTTTAAGTATTATCTGATCCTGTAAATAAAAGAGATGATATTCTTTCAATGTAGAGTTCAAAATCTTCATCTTTTTTTTAGACTAAATTGATTTGTGTCATCTTTGATTATTCATATTTCTAAATAAATTTTAAAAATTAAGATTAAAATACTTATAAGCATTTGATTTAAGTTTCTTTTTGTTTTGTATTAATTAGATAAAGACCATTAGATATATTTGTAATTTCTTCAAGTATTTTTTGTAATAATTCCTTCTCTTCATTTATTTTTTATTATTATAATCTTACAACCTTAATCATAAATAATAAATAAGTGTTCCAACTATTGTTGCTGCTAAAATTAAAATCTAAACCATATTATTTATCCCCACCACCATTATCTTTTTCACAAATTTCTATATTTTCTATCTATATTACCATTTACTCAGACACTTCAATTTCTTTATTTTTAGCACTTTTTTAATTTATTATATTTTTTAAGTTTATCAGATCTTCTTTCAATAAAATTGAAGAAATGTCCTTATTTCCAAATGTTTCAATTGTTTTGATTACGATTTTAGTTTGAGTGGCTAATTAATCATAATACTCCTTATTAATCTAATTTAGCTTTTAATGTTTGCTCAATTCAGACAAACAATTTTGAAGTTTTTCCTTCAAAAACTTCATTTCTGTTATAGATAAAATAAATTGTTTATCACTCACATTTTTTGATAACTCATTAAAAGATTGAATAATCTTGTCAATATTCTTTTAGGAAAGAGATTCTTCAATGAATAAATCTCCTAATTAATTCTCAATTAACTATAAATCTAATTCTTCTGAGGAAAGAATAATTTCTTCTATTGATAAATTGAATTGTAGGTATTCTATTAGTCCTTTCTACTTTGATAATTTATCTTTATAGTTTTATTAAATAAATTATAAATCGTTTTAGTCTTATCCAATTAATTATATATCTTTTAATTCAGAGATAGTCACTTTTTCACTTTTAGTAAAAATTATTCTTTTTGGGTAATCTGTAATTATTCTTCATAAAAATAAATCTATTTTTTCCCAACAACTTGTTTTTTTCTACTAGAATGTCAAAAATTTATATGTGAGTTACAAACAGCAAAATATTTCAAAAAATAGAATATTGTTTATTTTCAAGTATAAATTTGATTTCATTTTCTTTCTTAATTATTTTAAACAGTTAAAAACACAATAGCTTAAAAAGAAATTTATCAAGATTTATAAATTCTTATAAAGTTTGCAATTCTTCTGGACTAGTTTAACCTAAAATAGTTTAGAATGTCTTCTTGGTAGTTTCTAATTTTAAGTATAGTTTTAGATATCTGAACCTTAAATTTTGTATATAATTTGTTAATCCTTGAATCTCTTTAAGATTTTCAGGTTTTTAAAAAGCGTCAATTTCTTATTTGATTTAGAAAATTTACTTAATAAATAACTTGATTTTATTATTCTCATTTATAAGTTCTTAGTTCATATCTTCATATTCTTTTTAAAGATTATTCAACTAGTTTTGAAAGAATTCTATAATATTATTATTTTCTTGAAGTTAAGTGATTTCTATCTTTTCCAATTGTTTCTAAGAATTTGTAATTAACTAAATCAAAGTTGAAGCTACTTTAAAAAAGTTTTTTTAATCAGGAGAAACTGCAGCCAATAAATCAGAAAATTAATTTTTCAAATTATCAAGCCACAAATTTTTTAGTTTGAGGTTCTTTAATTCATTTTAAATAAGCACCCTTTCATCAGTTTCCAATTGAGACTATTAATGATTTGACTTATCTTTAAATCCTTTTATTTATGATTATAAAATTGATTCTAACACTTTCATCAAATATTTTAGTTATTATAAATTATTGAATTCGAAAATCTTTTCCTATTTAAATTATTAAAAATTTTATTTCCTATAGTAAAGCCCAATAAGTTTAAAGATAATTTGAGTTTTTTGGATATAATCTTTTAAGTTGAGAATCATACGATTTATTTATTAATTTTACACTGCTTATAATATCCTCTCATTAAATTTTGTATTGTTTTCCATTAAATTCCTAGAAGTTTCATTTACTACAGCCAATTTCTCATACCTTTCTTTAATTACATTGAGTAATTTATTTGAAATAATGAAGTCAAAAAATTATTAGATTTGGCCAATTACAATAATATTTTCATTTTTTTAAGGTTCAATATTGATTACTTTTAATTTGTTTTGAACGTATGATCTAAATGTGAAATGTGTATTTTGTTCATTCTGTAAGAAATCCTTAAGCAATATGAAGGGCTCCCATCCTTTGAAGGAGTCTTCTAATATTATACTATCAATTTATAGGAGTTATTTATTTTTAAATTAATGAAGTTAAATGACACTCTAATCTTTGCTATGGTTCATTTAAATTATAAGTCCTTTGTTCTGAAATTCTTTCCAAATTTACCTTGAATTGGCTCCAAAATTGTAACGACTAACCAAATCATTTAACTTTGGTTTTGTTAAAAGAGGATTATAAATTAAGATCTTTCCAATTAATTAAATCCACAAAAAATGATATACCCAATTATTTGAATTTAACACAAGATTTTTATGTATTTCCTGAATTTGAAAAAGTATTTCGTCTAAATTTTTTTATATGCTATTTTAAAAATAGCTAATTATCTCCCATTACAACATATCAATTTAAAAATAAACTTCATATAGTTTTCTATTGTTCTAAACTGAATACATTTTGTAAAGTAAACAGACTCCCTAAAATAAAGATTCAAGCAATTTGGCACTAGGTTTCATTTGTGTTATCGATGTAATTATACCATTCAAACATCCTTTTACAATTTCTTCCTATTCAGCTCTGTTATTTGGAGCTATTTCGAAAGAAGTTCTTGTTAGGAAAAGAAAAATTTCCATTTGTATTTGAACTCTATTTCCATTTATTATTTTAATTCCTCCGTAATATCCAGAAATTCCTTTTTTAAATAACATTTCATAAATCTCTCCTCATTCATAATATGGAAGCTAAATATCACTTTAGATAGAGATGTTGTTATTTATAAAATGTACAAACATTTAAACTAATCTGTTCTGATGTAGATCAAGCAGCTTTTCAATAATTTTCGAATTCCATCTAATATTAAGTCGTAGGATTTCATGACCTTCCCAGCATTCTTGTTGAGTTTATAGATGTTTTCTTCTTAAAAAATAAACCATTGTATGGCTATCATTATATCTTAAGATTCTTATTCATTCATAGCAACAGCAGCTTTTGTGAAGATTTGTTTAACATAGAAATTGAATCTAGAGATGAAAATGTCTATTTCTTAATCTTCTTCTTTTTTAGTTGTATTTGTAATTTATTATTATGATCTTATTTAATTTGAAGTTATACAACCACCTCCCCGCAATAAGAATTTAGTTTTCTCCATTAACTCTGCCATTTTTATGATAATTTAAATAATAAAATCCACACCGGTATAAAATCCTTACATTGTGATTTAGGAATTTAGAAATTCTATTAAATATTCACTTTATTGGAATTTGGAATTTGGAATTTTTCCAAAAGAGGGTAAATCAATAGAATCTAATGTTACTTGAGCTCAATGAAAATGAGTCACAGTTCTTGGATGATCGATTGGGCTAACATTTTAATTTTATGGACCTTTCTTCAATTCATCATCATTTAAAACTATTTCCTGCATTTTTTTTTGAAATTAACACTATCCAGTAGTGTTTGAAAATTTTATGAAAAATACATTAACAAATTTATATTAATGATCATTTAATAATTCCCTATCTAAAACTATCTTCAAAGATCATAAACCAAGGCGCAATTAACTCATTCTTCCATAAATTATTTTTTTAGGCAATAATATTGTTAACAAGTTTCCGAAATATAATTTCTTTCTTCCAGCTAATCTAGAGGATCCTCTTAAAACTGAAAAATAGGCCTTTATGTTTATTAATTATTTTTAGCATTAAACATACAAAAGTAATCCTAAGTAACAATTCAAGAAGCAAATGATGTTATTGGCTCTTAAGAAGTTTATACTGTGCACTGATCTTAAAGAATATCTATTTACTTGATTACTCAGCAGCTATTAATTGATAAAATTTATTAGTAGTCGCTCTTGGAAGGATCTTTAAAATTCAGAAAGATAAGGTATAGTCTTACAGTTGATAACATAAAGAACTCAAGACTAATTGCATGAAAAAGAAACAAATCTCTCCTGAAAGTTAAGTAAAGATTTTTTTTATAAGCCATTAAAATATCTTATCTATTTTCACTGCATATGTGATTGGCAAAAATATCATTGTGAGATTAATTTGTACAGACACTAATAATCAAAAGCAAATTAAAAAAAAATAAAGTAAATAAATAAACTTCTTTAATTTTTTTCAATAAAGAATCCACTCTAACATAAAAAAGCTATCAATATACATCTCTTTTAACATAAGCATTGAATCCATAATTGTTTAGTAATTTTATATTATTATTTTAGAAGACAATCTCCTAAATTTAGATTTTTTGTATCATTGTAATTTTGTTCATTGTTTTTGAGTTAAATCAGTTAGAATACATCTCAGAAATCAGAATAAAAACATTTTTTTTAAATTGGTGGATAATACCTATACCATTGAAAAAAAATTTTTGATGATACAAAATGAATTAATAATCAAGAAGGAAATTTTGAATAAGAATATATTTTTTGTAATAAAGAAGTAGAGGATGATAGAAGAAAATGTAAGATAGAGTTGAAAACAAGGTGAATGGCAAAAAACCTAATAGTTGATTAACATTTTCATTAAATAAAATACCGGAATCTAGAGAAAAATAAATTGAAATAGATCATGAAAAAAATAATTATCTAATATAAATTAAGATGATAGAAGTTGAGATAATTACTTTCAACAGCAGGTTTTCCTTAATTTCCATAGAATGAATCTAAAATAATTCATTCTTGTTTGTTCTATGGTTAAAGGAAAGCAATAATTCAAATCTTATTTTTCTTAAATATCATTTGATAATTTTTCTATAATTGTATATTTTTTGGATTAATTTATTTATACTTATCTTATAATTCTTCCAATATTCTTGCTATTTAAGTTCCATAAAATTAGTAATTAGAATTTAATTAATTTATTTATTTGATTATTACCTTATTGTTAAAATATAAACTTTTCATTTTCAAAGTTTCTATCTTATTTAATTTTAGATTATATTTATTCTTTTAGTATGTGTATTGATTAATATGTTATTTTCGTAAGGCACATTAATTGATTGACTTAAAATTTTTTAATTTAGATAGGTTCGTATTCTATTTATTTAATAGTGCCATCATGATATTTGATGTTATATTATTATCATTCTTCTTATACAATAATTTAATTATTCTTAACTTAATTTCTATTAAGTTTTCTAATATTTTATGTTATTTTGATAAAGATATTATAGAATTAACTCTTATAAATATTAATATTATTTTACTTATTTTAATAAGAGATCATTGATGAATAAATATAATTACACCCAATATCTCTTATTTTATTCTATCAATATATTGTCTAATATTTTTTAGCATATCAACATATTTATGTAATTAATTTTAGGAAGCTCTTATTTATTTCATAATATCATAATTCCTTCCATTAGTATAATTTTTTTCATTGTTAAATGTTATAATAAAAAGCAATTACAGGAGTTACTTAAATAAAAGTACTTTAATTATGAACTTTTTATAGAAGTTGAAATTAATTCTATTTCTTTAAATAATATATATGTTCGTATCATCAATTGCAATTTATCGAAGTTGATAACAGGCAAACAATGTCGGAATAGCATTCCCAAAACAGAATAAAAAGTATCTTACCTTTAAAAGTATTATTTATTTGATTGTATGTTTTATGTGGAAATATTAATCTTATTTTCTTTCTTAACAAGTATAACATCATTCAATTGCATCATTTCCCATAATACCTAGAACTGATTAGCATTTTAGACATTAATAATGATTACAAACTTAGCATTTATGAATTGGGTGCAAGCTAAGATTTAATACATAAAAGATTACATACTCCACTTTTTCAAATTTCTTTTAGTTATACTGAATTCACAAAAAAGACATTTGGCATAATTTTTTTAATTCAAATAAATAGAGCATTTTTAACATTTCAATCTTTATTCATGTTTATGTATTTTACAAAATATTTTTTTTATAGATAGTAAATGGGAAACATAAAGATTTGTATTGATGCAACTAGAACATAATCTAATTAAAATGAATAATAAGAATATGAATATTTTATTTATAAAAAGATGTTTGCAATAGAATTTTTAGATATAATAGATTTCTTTTCTGACATTTAAATTATAATATAAAATTCCTAGAAATCTTTGTTTTATAATGTTTAATCATATATCTGCTGTTTTACTCAATTATTTGCAGCAATAATATCGCAAATCTATTGAGCTAAAAAAAGCAAAGGATTAATTGACTTTTCTTCTCTTTGTTATCTTAAGTATTATTTCATTCTTTCTAATTCATTTTTGTCTGCTTAATCTTCATCCTCTTAATCTTCTCTTATTTCCCCTAATGACAATAAAGTGTCTTTTTTTAATTCTTAAGGTATCTATTCTTCTACTCCTCCTTATTATGCTTATTTATCAATAGGAAAAGGTGATTAAATTCTTTTTGATCTTAACCCATATATTTGGGAAACTCTGATTAATTAATTCTCATTTCATCTAAATCAACTGAACCTTCTGAGAATTCATACTCAGATCCAAGTTCAGCTCTAAGTCTCTCTTTTATTCAATCTTATCAAATATTTTTATTTTCTTAAGTCTTTCCAAAAATCTTTTCTAACTTTATCTGATTTAACAACTTGATCAATAAACTAATTTATTTATTTTACCTACTTCATTAATGCCGGTTATGATCCAGGATATACATCTGATTTTATCTAATCCTTCATCATCTATATGAATTTAGTTATTTAATTTCTAAAAATTTTTATGTATATATATACCCATTAATGTAATAATAATTATAAAAATATAAAACAATATTTCCAACCATGAATGTTCATCATCTTCATTCACTTAGGCAGGAATATTTATATTATCTTTTTCTACATTTTCAGTATCTTACTCTTAATTTACATTCTATTCCTCTTCAATATTTTTTTTAGTGAATTTGGCAATCTAATATTTTTTACAACTTATATATTTTATTTTAATGTTTAATCATCAGAATCAAAAGTATTGATAACTTACAATTTAAATTAATCTAAAGTACAATTTGCTGATACAATAGAAATCTCTTATTAATCCAAATCAAAAAGAAAATCTTTTTTTCTCGTCCAATTTTATCCCAAAATTGTCCTATCTTAATATTTTTCTACTCCTAAAAAAACTTATTAATTCTAAATGAACAAATAATCTTAAGGTTTCCAAAAAATTTTAATTTTATTAAAGGAAATATGAATGATAATCAAAGTATGAAATATTTTAAAATAAAAGTTAGGATAAAATGTTATATTTAATCGGAGTTTAATTTAAATCGATACAATCTTTATGGCCTATACTAATTTATGATATATCTTATGATCCATATATGAAATAGTAGCTCTTGAATCAATAAATGTTCCTTAACCTTAAGTATGAATACTATCATAAATAGTAAAAATTTGATCACCAAAAGCTATATTTATTAAGTTGATTTAATATTATTAATTAGGTGAGTATTTGATTTTATTTATTTTAAAATCAGGATCTTATCTTAAATAGTCAGATCCATCAACACTTATATACCATAATCATAATTTAAGCATATTGAAAATCTCCTCTTAAATTATAATGCCTTATCTTTTTTTGCTATAAAATCTATCAAATTTGGAGGATATTATGAATAATTTTATGTTGGTCCAAGTCCAAATATACCATCTGCAAGTTAAGTTTAAAATTATCCAGTCTCAAATTAAGTTCATCCAAGTATTGATTCAAATGATTCTTGCTTAACATATAAATCATCTAATTAAATCAATCCATCTCTTATTAAAACCTAAACTTTATAATAAAACCCTCCTATTCCTCTAATAAGATGCAAAATTGCATTTATTATTTTTAAAAGTGAAACAATTGAAATCCTTCCTTAAATCATGCTATTGTAATCTTTCTCATTAAATTAGTATGGAGGTTGTCCACATTGAGAACATCACATTTGTTTGAGCTATCAGTATCTACAATAATATTATGCTTTTGTTCTATTTTCACAAGCAGAAATATTCAAATAATACAGTTAATAATATATTTATTTTTCAGAAACTGTAATTACTTAAAATACGAATTTAATATAAAGAAAATAAAGTATCTACTTACTTTAATTAACTAGGGTTGAATTATCGTCTAAAATTGCAGTATGAGGATTATCTACTAACTATTATATTCATAAAAATACTCTATTTTCTTAATTTATTAATGATATTTTTGAAGTTCAACTAAAAAGCATAAAAAAGGTTAATATTATATTTTAATAAAATAA